CTAGTTCATGTCTCCTTCGTGGAGTTTTTCGTATTCCCAAGAGCTTGCACCAGGCATTTCCTCATCACTGGGGCTTAAAAGTCTCCTCCCATTTTTGCCTCTGCTGTCAGGAATTCTGGGTACGAATGAATGGTGTGCTTCAGGGCTAGAGCCCAAAGCCCGATTGCTCCCCTGCTTCCCAGAAAGACCACAGCTCAGATCCAGGAGTCTTTCTCTGACTGGTTATATCTGCAGACCTAATCTTGTTGGCAATTTGGATTGTTCAAAGGACATGGCATCCTTTGGGTAAAGTGGACATCTCTGCTGGCAGTACCCCTCATCTCTTGGATAAAGGCCACACTGCACAGAGCCCCCTCACACATCTTCAACCCATGTCTCCTTTGTCAAGGCTTATGTGTTGTTCTCCCATGCATGCCTGCAGGACACAGCTCCACCAACCAGCTCAGACTTGTCTCCAGTGGGACAGAGTGTCCCAGAGGTCTGATCCCCTAAGCAGGGAAGGTCCACACAGACCAGCATGAGGGATGCCCCCTCCTCAGCAGCACTACAACTTTTCCTCCTCTCTGGCCCTGGCAAAGAATACAATCAAGTCTCCAACACAAGGCTGAAGTCCTGGCTGAAGTTCCTGCTGCTAGGAAAAGGTCCCCACACCACATAAAGGGCATGGCTGGGTGCAGTGGAGCTCAGCTAGGCCTAGAAGGCGGAGTGGGGTTGTCACCCCTACCCTTCTGCTTCAGCCTCCTCAGTCTTCCCATCTTCCCCTCTCTACGGAACCTTTGAGTCATCTATCCATCTTTTCCTTGTCAAGGCTAATGTGTGGCTTGGACTTGCTCTGGTGCCAGTTCCAACCCTGGATGATCTTAGACCTAGTCCATGCCATCAGTGGGCAGAACTACTTAAGGGTTTTGGCAGACTCTGTTTACACAGCACACCAGCTTTCTGCCTTGGTGGAATGAGTGTTTCTCCAAGGTGCAGCCAGCTAGACTTGGAGCATCTTTCCTGGGGCCCCAGTGACTCAGAGGCCAATGAGGTTCTTATGCTTTGCCATGCAGGCATCCTTAGAAGATCCCCTGCATAGATAAGCTGAATTCTAGAGTTCCGCTCAGAGTCCATCCCAGCAATCAGGAATCTCTCAGCCTTGGCATCTTTTCCTCCAAGGTTGCAGAAGGGGTCAGCCTGGTACATGTGACTCCCTGGGGACCCCTTATTAGGCCCATGACTTGACATTTTGTCTAGTATTCCAGCACAAGCCCCAGCTGGGAGCAGTAACCAGCATTTATTTAATACTTTAAATGTCAAGTGATGTGCCCAGCATTTATTCACTTAGTCCCCACCACACAAAGAAGTGCCATCCTTAACCTGGGAGAGACCACAGAGCCAGTAAGGTAGACTCTGATTTGGAATCTGGATGTGCCATGTTTTAGTTCTTGGGGAAACAGGGTCTCAGTCTATTCAGGACATATGGTGTAATGTCTTAGACTAGGTAATTTATAAACAACAAATTTGTTGCATATAGTTCAGAGACTGGGGAGCCCCAAATCAAGGCACCAGATAGGGGGGTCACTGCTGAGATGTGTTCATATCAGTAGTACCTTTCACATGCCTTTACTAAATGAGGGGATAGGCTAAGGCTCCTGATATTACCTCGGGAGGTTCTGTTCTTGGGATCTTGCCACCTCCCAAAGGTCCTACCTGCAACATTATTGATTTGAGATTAAATCTCTATATATGAATGAGGGAGTGTGGGGTGCAAAAGACCAGAGCAAAGCTGGAACTAACTATTAAGAAAGCAATAGCAAGCAAAACACACCGTCAAAAGAAGAGCTGTAGGACCCTAGTTCGGTCAGATGGGATGGGCATGCATTCTGCCTACCATGGTTAAGTGAAAGCCATAGAAAGACAAAAAGCATCCAGGGATGTGGAAGCACAGGAGGAGCTACGTATTTAGGAGGGAGAGGAACACTGAAAACAGCATGAACGGATCTATGAGTTCCATCCTCTGCTGCTCTCCCGTGACTCACAGCTTAGCCTCAGGGCACCAGGCTGGAGCCACATGGCCTTGGACAGGGTTTTCTGTGGGATGGCAAGTGTGTGGGTCCGTTGTTTGAATGTGTCTTGCTCTTCCACCCCCATCACGTTGAAGCTTGCCCCCAATGTAGTGGAACTAATTCTAGTGGAGGTGATGAGACTGTGGAGTCCCTCAGGAGGGATTCTTGTAACTCTCATGTGACTTAGTACTCATAAGAGCTCATTGTGCTAAAACAGGCTACTCCACATGCACAGCCCCTTCTGTATGTGGCCTCTTCTCTTTCTTCTTCTCCACCAGGTTGTTATATAGCCAGGGGTATTTGCTGGAGGCTGGGTCTGTCTGTTGGACCTTCCAGACATCAGAATCATGACTAAGTATCACAGATGCAAAAGTACTAAGAAGATTGTTGGCATACAAACTCAAGCTATAATATATAAAGGACAATATTATTATGACTAGCTGGGAAAGCATGACATGTAGCTGGTTCACAGTCTGAAAACTGGGGCTGTAGAGATGGGTCAGTGGCTAAGAGAACTGCTGCTCTTTCAGAGTTTGGTTCCCAGCACCCATGTCAGGCAGCTTATAATTGCCTATAACTTCAGCTCAATGGGATCCGACATTTTCTTCTGGTTCCCATGGGCACCTGTACACACATGCATATATTCACATTAACAGGTAAATAAACAGATAAATAAATAGTATGAAAATCAGTCAGTATGATTCATCAGATTAACAAGCAGAAAAAGCATAGGATTATATAGACAAAGCAAAAAAAAAAAAAAAAAAGCATTTGGCAAAATTCAACATCCAGGCATGATTTAAAAAAAAACTATCGCCGGGCGGTGGTGGCGCACGCCTTTAATCCCAGCACTCGGGAGGCAGAGCCAGGCGGATCTCTGTGAGTTCGAGGCCAGCCTGGGCTACCAAGTGAGTTCCAGGAGAGGCGCAAAGCTACACAGAGAAACCCTGTCTCGAAAAACCAAAAAAAAAAAAAAAAAAAAAAAAAACTATCAGCAAGCTATGAATGAAAGGGAGTGTTTTGACCTGGTAAGGGGAATCCACATAAGATAAACAACTTAATTAAGATAGGCTGAACATTTCCTGATTCAGTAAGGGATGTACAGGGACAGCCTCTTCATTTCTTTTTTCCAACATCATATGATAAGTCCCATCTGGTGTAATAAGGTAAGAAAAAGAAACAAAAACCACACAGATGAGAAAGGAAGAAATAAAATTATTCCTCTTCTCATGCAGAAGATCCCAGGCAACCTATAAAAAGTTCTTAGAATTAGCAAGGAGTAAGCTTGCAAGGTTATAAACACCACTGTGTTTCTTCATGCTACCAATGAGCAGTTAGAAAACAATGAAGTATTAAAAGTGCCACTTATGGGCTAGAGAGATGGCCCAGAGGTTAAGAGCACTGGCTGCTCTTCCAAGGACCTGGGTTCAATTCCTGGCACCCACATGGCATCTCACAACTGTCTTTAAATCCTGTTCCAGGGGATCTGGTACCCTCATATAGACATACATGTAGGCAAAACATCAATGCACATAAAAAAGTGCCACTTATAATAGTCCTCAGACTCTGGCTAGAAGGAGTCTGAGCTGGGCTATCAATTCAAGGTCCTGGCTGGCTCATTTTGTAGGAAGAGCCCAAGGTCTGATGATAAGGCTTTCCAGTCTTGTCTTCCTCAGATGCAAACTATCTGAGGCTCAGACATCTGCCCTTAGCACAGCGGCCTTGAAAGGGACAAGCAACTAGTCATAGTTGTTACTAGCATTAATAATTAATTAATTAGGTAAGGGAAGCACCAGGCACACCAACCAATCACCAGCACCTGTCAGTGATCTTATCAGGGTAAAACAGAAGGTGGGAACCCAAAGCCCAAGAACTGATTCTTCCTGGAATGCTCATGCAGGACCTGCTGGGGCCCGTGAGCTGCTGGTTCATATGATGTCATGATGCTGAGGAGGCTCTGGGACTGAGACACTTTCTCAGTTTGTAGAATTCTAAAGTACTTATACAAAGAGATACAAATGGAGCAACTGAGGCCGCTCCAGTGAGGTCACAGAAAGTCAGATTAGAACCCAGACATGCCGACTACCACTGCCACTGTCACAGCCATCAACATCATCACCATTCTCACCAGCAGCAGTACCGACACCATCACCACCATCTTTACCATCACCACCATTACCACCATCAACTACACCATCATTATTATCACCACCAGCATCATTTTCCTAAAGCAGTGGTTCTCAACCTTCCTAACGCCGTGACCCTTTAATATAGTTCCTCATGTTGTGGTGACCCCCAACTATAACATTATTGTCTGTGCTACTTCATAACTATAATTTTGCTACAATTATGAATTGTAGCGCAAATATCTGTATTTTCTGATGGTCTTAGGCGACCACTGTGAAAAGGTCATTCCACCCCCAAATTGGGTGTGACCTATAGTTTGAGAACCACCGTCTCAAGCCTTGTCATCTGCACCACCAAATAAATGTTCATGGCACCAGGTGTGTGTGTGTGTGTGTGTGTGTGTGTGTGTGTGTGTGTGTGTGTGTGTGTGTTGGTTGCTTCCTTCTTGGGCATTGTGGGAGCTGCAGTCAGGACCAGCAGCTGGTTATCTTTATCTCACACCTGCTTATCCTGGCAAGAGGTTCCAGGCTTTGGAAATCCACCAGGGTTTAGGAGCTCTCAACAAAGCCAAAAGTATTTCCATGTGAACGATGAATCCTGGGAGAAGTGTTCAGGTCTCCAAACTTTTGTACCCTGTCTCCTTTCTAGTTCCTCATTTTACCTCTCTGTTTTTCTGTCTGTCTCTGTCTCTGTCTCTGTCTCTCTCTCTCTCTCTCACACACACACACACACACTCAGGCACACCCCACAACCTCGTACACCTTGGTGCTAAAGAAGCCTGTACTGTCAGGCTACCTTCAGAGCAGGGATGCTGACAGCACTGAGAGTAATTAATGGTTTCCTTTACTTGGATTTTTTTTTATATCATTTCGAAGTAAAATGTATATATGTCTAACCCATGGAATTTAAGTAAATTTAAATGAATGGATACAAGAGAAAAATCAAGTGTCTGGGAAAGTGCCTAGTCCACAAAACCTGAATTACCACCAATTACTGAGAAAATTATCCAAATTCCTGAGTCACAAATCCCAGAGCTGATGGAATCTGGCCTGCTTCCTGGAACCCTGGCTTCCGGGGAAACACCAGAGTCCATGCAGGTGGGTTATTTCAAGGTAGAAGTGTGGGTCTGGGGTGGGCACAGGGCTAGTATAGAGTGTCGTATGCAGAGCTAATGCAGGGCTGGGGGATGCGGGGCTGGTGCAGGGTGAGGGTGTGGGGCTGTTTGGCCTGTTTCAAACTTCCCAGCTGGAGTCAGGACAGCCCTACCTTTTCTATTTTATAAATAGGACTACCATGCAAGCTTTCTTTTGAAGACAAGTCCTGTGAACAGAACAAAGTTACCACCTCCACCTGGGGCCATAGCCCACAGTGACTTCTCTGCCTGTCCTGGAGCTAGCTGGGGGAGGAGAGACGCCAGGCAGGGACCAGTGGACGGGCTCAAAAGTGAAAGCCAGATGTGCTCTATCCTAGAGGCTCTGGCAGCTGCTTCTATGCCTTGCCAAAAGGTTATCTCTGTGAGACCCTGGATATCCTGGGAGGTGGGAGAGGGGTCCCCATAAACCCTGGGAACTCCCCCCACTTGCTAACCTTCTATCCAGCAAGCATAGCCTCGGGCATAGGAATCCTATTAAAATCATTCTGAGTGAAGCATCTCTGCCACAGAGTCATAGCCGCCTGGCTGGCAAGCAGAGCACCCCCCATACATCCGGAGCTGTGGGAGATGAAGGAACTCTGTGCGAAGCCTACAGGAACCTCTGTAGGAGATAGAGAGAGAGCCCGCTGGGGCTGAGTGGGTGTTACTGCTAATTAAGTGGGAGGTAAGGGGCAGGAACCTTAATTAGCAGCGTAAGGAGTCTCTACCTCTCCAGAGCTTCATGGAGGTGGTTTATGAAACAGAAGTTCAATTTGGATGAGAACAGGTGTTGGAGAAGGGAGATGAGCAAGCAGCTGCCACAGCTAGCACAGCTGAGAGCCTGCCTGGGCTCACAGACCCACCTTCTTTCTGACTCCACACTCCTCCCCATGACACAGACCCTCCACCATGGGGTGGTGGGGGTTTCTGAGGACTGATCATTCCTAGTGTCTAGGGGGTGCTGGTAAGGGGCACCTGGCAGGGACTGAGCAGTGCCCTCCCTGCTTTGAAAAAGAAATTCTGAGGCCTCAAACTCGCTTGGGTCCTCAGTTCTTCTCTGATGTGGTTACAATGACTACCTAACTGCCTGCTAATGATGTCCTCCTAGAGCTACAAGGACTGGCCCCAAGGCAGGGAGGGAACATTCTGTGAGCTCCCAATTTCAGGCCTTTGAGCAGTCCACATCTTTCTCAGCCCACCCAGCAGACCAAGCCCTCCATGAGAAGTGTCTCTTCTCTCCCTAGCTCCCTAGAAGGCTCTGCTCTAGGGCTTGGCTCTAAGCACAATGTGCTGTGCCAAGGCCCTGCTGTCTTGGGCTTTTAATTCCACAGCTGAGTACTAGGCGTTGATTGTCCTACTTACAGATGAGGAAACAGGCTTGCAGAAGTTAAAAGACCGCTTAAACATCAAACCCTGGTCAGTGTTGGGCCTGGACCTTGGCTGTTACCCATCAGCTGTCCACATGTCAACTTGAGACTGTTTCTTCCTGAGAGCTGGACCAGGGATTCCCAAAGAGAACAGAGAAGCCATTGTGTGTGGAAAGCAAGCTCTGGCTGCATATTCGGGCAGTAGCAAGAGACTGGTGGCAACACGGTTCCAAACTGGCCCTCAGGCATGCTTAACTGGCTCTCAGTGTGACCCTCCGATGTAGAGGGACAACACAAGAACCCAAATCTGCCCTGGACTCTTCTAGCACACAGCAAGTTCTGCAGGTGTAGAGTGGGGAGCCCAGGGTATGGTTTCTGCTCTTTGGGCTGTACCAGGAGGCATGGAGATGGGCTGCTGTCCCAGAGCCCCAGCTGCTTGGCATAGTCCAGATGCAGACCAGGGCTGAAACCCAGTATGAAGCTGGTACTCAGACTGCAAAGCCTCTCAGAGCCACTTCACCGAGAAGATTGGGGTCAGGCACCTGGGGATGGTGGCTCATACGCAGCTCCGGGGCCTCCTTCTGGAATGCCAGATTGATTTCTTAGGGCAGGATTTTCAATATAAAAAAGTCAATTCCATGTTCCTCCTTTTAAGCCTTTTCAGCCACAGCTGGCTCCTCCATCAGGCCAGAGGGAGTGGGATTGTCCCCAATACCTAACAGCACCATGCTAGTCAATGCTTCTGCTCACCCCTCCCCCACCCCATCCTTCTTTACTTTCGAAAGTGTTGTCATGGGCATGAGTCAGGATAACCAAGGATGATGCAGCAATGGCCCCCTGTGAAGCAGCCAGCTGTGCTAAGGGCTCAGTGAAACAGGGGAAAGGTAAACGGGGAGTTGCTTGGCCTGTTCAAGAACTAACCACACACTTGAGAGGTGGGGCAGAATGACAGGTCAGAGCACTGGTGTCCTTTTGACCAAGGACAAAGTTATATCATGGATCCATTTGTCTCTTCACTCAGCCCAAGTGAGTCATCCTGATCTGAGCTCTGGGAAGGGGGTAGAATTATTTTGTTCTTATTTCTGGTGGGGCTGGCAGCATGCCCAGATGGTTGTTAGGCTGAATGGATGGACAGCAGACCTGCACTGGATGGTCTGGGCCTTGAACTGCAGACCTGCTCCAGGGAGGGCCGGTCCTCACCAAAGAACAAGATCACAGAGCTGTGGGATGGCTGGCGTTTTTAGTTATCTTAGAGATCTCAACACATGCCCTAGGGACTTCCCTGGCTGGGCACAGTCTTCCAGGCTATTGATGTTCCACCTCCTCCACAGCCCTGACTTCCCCAAGCTTCTCCTTGTCTCTCCTGCTCAAGATGGAGCCTAGTTTCAGGATTGCAAAGTTGACAGGCAGCCAGACCTTAACTTCATACAGAAAGCACAGGAAGAGCTGTCCTTGCTGTCACTGGCCCATGGGAACATCTAGGTGCTCTGTAGGCAGTGGTCTTCCTCAATGAACAGGTTCCTGTACTCTGATGTTTGATGCTCATGGCTGGGCTGGTGTTGATGGCCCAATTGAAAGGAACCTTCTGGCCTTCAACAGTGGAGATGGCTGTCCCAGCTGGGACCCAGCCAGCAGGAGGGAACACGTGCCAACCCATCAACATACCATAGCCAAATTCATGTTCCCAATGCCGAGAAATCGTATTTAAACTCTGCAAATGGACACCAGGTAATTATCTTCACCAGGACTGGGATGAGGTCCAGGGCTCTCTGAGAACAGGGCAGGAACGTACCATGGGCTTCACAAAGACAGTAAGCTGAAACTGGCACCAGAACACAGGAAGGGAAGTCAAGTCTAACCACCCTATCTGCTAGAAGGGAACCATTTGAAGAGAGGCGCTCAAAGTTAGTGATTGGAGTTGCTAGGAAAGCTCCATTGGCTTAATTGGAGGTAAATTGGAGGGTGAATGTACCCTCAATCATAAATATTCATGAGTCACATAGCATTGCCTAGGTAGCCGCTGGCTCTGGCAGCCACTGAGTTGGCTCTGGGCTCATGCTTGAAACAACACAAGCACTTCTGGATTTCTGGACTGGAGATATGAGCAGCTATTTGTAGATGTCTTTGACAATAAGGCGTGTGCAGTGCTCCCTTGGGCAGATATTCTCAGGAGGAAAAGGCTTCTACAGGTGTGGAGGGAGTGGAGCAGGGTAACAGGAGATTCACGATGCTGCCAGGACGTGAGTGCCCCAGGCCTGGGGAATCAATGTCCAGAGGCTGTGATATAGGAGGGGGAGGGGAATATTAGTCTCAGAGCTGGGTCTCTCTTCCTTCTCCAATGACCTTGGCTTTGATATCATAGAAGTAACAACAATAGTGTCACCTCAGATGTTTGTGACAATCCATCTGGTATGACAAATGTTAGAACATGCCAGAAATTGAAGGGGAAAAAGTGCTCCCTGCTGCAAATAACACCTTTCTTACAGCTCGATTGAGATGGTTCAGCAACCCAGGGCAGGTGGAGTCTTGTCCCACACCTGCTGGCAGGACGGCATTTCCATGTCCCACCACCCCCAGCCAGCTGTACTAGGAAGGCTCAAGACTATGCTTACCTAGAGGCATCCTGCTGGGTCCTAGTCAGTGAGCTCTACTGCCTGTGGATCTGGGACCTGGTTTGAAGGCATTTTGGTCACTTAGAGCCCTCCTCTTGTTCCTTGGGGCTTCCTTATCTTTCAACTTCCATTTCCACCTGGATCCCTGGAGTTACTGCTGGGATAGGCCCACTTGCTCATCCAGCCCACCTGAATAAGGACCCTCACCATAAGAAAGGTTCTGGATGCTGTCATCAGGCGCTCAGAGGACCACATCCAGCTTGGTCCCTCCTGCTCTGTGGGAGAGGGAGTATCCACATCCACGAGAGGTATATCTGCCCCCAGGACATCCTACTTAGGATGAGTCAGTTTCCTGCACAGGGTCTTGAAAGAACTCTCAGTAGTGGAACACTGCAGCTTAACAGAAACAGCACCCCTACATGCCACAGGGATACAGGTGGCACTCATACCCTTATTAATAGTGTCCACTGTGCTGTGGCCTGGACAGCACTTGGGGGCAGTGGGAAGTGGTAAGAGAGGAGGCCAGAGAACAGAGAGGGGTGGAAGAAGCAGGGTCCTGTGTTGGGTGCTGGAGAGAGGCACTGAGTGAGGAAGAACAAGCTGGAGACTGGTGGTCAGGAGCCTCCTGGATGGCTGAGCTCCACTGTCAGTCTCCCAGTTTACTGGTGGGGAAGAAGATGCCTGAGCTGTAGGCTGTGGATGCACAGAGCAGCTCAGGAATCTTGGTTGCCAATCCCCTATATCGAGACACCCAAGGACACCCAAGGGCAGAGGGGTGGGAAGATTAGCCCACCCCTCATGGTTCCCTTTTCAGTTGCTTAACAAGGGAAATGTCTTCCTTGTAATGACCTTCTGGGCCTAGAGATCTGTGTCTCCAAGACCTGCAGTGTAAGCGTCCTGTTCAGATCCAGGGGAGCAAACTGTAGAGGCAGAGGCTAGGCTATCCCTTCCTACAGAACCCCTCCAAAGGAAGGAACATAAAATGAGCGGGGCAGCCCTAGGATCATTCACAAGGCAAGCAAGGTCACAGGGTCACAAGGGTTAAGAAACACAGCTGGAGGACTGTAACATGTACTATGTGCACATACCCTTTTCACACACTTATACTCCATGCAAACACACACCATATACATACATACCATGCACAATTATCCTATGCATGTACATGTCCTGTGTAAACATGAACACATACCCTGTGTACACACATATCCTATGTACATACCCATCATGCATATACATCTCATGCACATACATTCCATGCACACACATACCATATACACCCTGTGCACACATATTCCATGCAAATACACCCCATGTGCACACACATGTACATGTAAACTCCATAAACACACATCCTATGAGCATCCATACATCATACACACATATGCCCCATACACACACAAACACACCCTCTGCAAACATATACCCAGTGTATATACACCTCATGCACACACACCACATACACTGTGTACACCCACCCCATACATACCATGTACACACATCCATCCATGCATATCCTGTACATTCACACTCTGTACATAGCTACCCCATGCAAATACACCCATGCACACATACCTCATGCACACATATAGCCATGCACATGTAAACTGTCTGTGAGCATACACCCTATGAACATACACAAACAACATATACACACATCCTGTATAAACACACACCCCATGCACACATCATGCAATACATTACCATGCACACACATCCTATGTAAACATATGCCCCACACACATACACATGCTTCATATGTACATACATACTCCATACACGCACAAAGGGATTTTATTTGTGCTTTATTTGTCTCTATCACCTTTTGGGCTGCAACTGTAACATGGTTTTGGTAGAAAGGTTGTGGGGGGGGGGCTACCTAAGCTTTACTCTTCTGCCCACGGCAGGGTCTCAATGGGCTCTTGCCCCAGAGAGACCCTGACACTCGTGACCCCTAAAGAAGCTAGGTGGCCATCGGGGTGCTTCATCTAGTCTCTATAGCCTGACAGATGTCATTCCCACTGAGGTGGACACTGATGTGGGTCTCCAAGGAACTAGGCTGAATGGTCTAGCCCGACTGGTATATGGCTTCTCAGAACTGTGTTGGTTCCCAGAGAACCTCTGGCAAGTTGCGGTGATCTGAGAAGGGATCTGGGGGGCTTGCTTTGAGTCCTGTCCTTCAAAGAAGAGCTTTCTATAGCCACAGCATCTCCCCTTAGGCTCATCTGCTCTCAAAACTTCAGCTGTGGGGAACAGCATCCGCAGTTCACTGTGGGAAGGAGGATCTGAAAGGACAGGAGAACCTGTTAACGCTCTGTGACTGGAGGGACACTGGCAAGCCTAGGCCTTCTGTCTTGGAGTCCTGTAACTCTCACATACCGCAGAGTGTCTGTACCCAGAGGTGAGAGCATGGCTGGAAAGGGCTGAGCACTGCCCAGAGACCAGAGAAGCAGTGTGTGTCCATCACCAGGGTCCGAGTCTCCCACGAGACCAACACTGGCAGTTTCTGAGAGTCCAATCCTGACTCCATTCCTGGGGGGGGGGTCTCTCCTCCCAGGGAAGGTGCTGGCCTGGGATTTCATAGGTCAGTGGCAATATATGGTCTGGGTAACATATGCCTGAGAGTTCTGCCCTCAGCCACTGGTAGTGACTTCTACCCACACCTGTGCTAGGAGGGGCTTAGAAAGAGCCAGACACCCACAAAGACCATGGATCTGCAGCCCCAGAATGTGCATGCTGTCTCTTACAGGAGATCACAGGAGGAAAGTCCCGTGGTATAGAGATACAGACTCAAGTCACAAAGGCCATATGATGATATCTAAATGGGAGCCATGTCTACTATGGAGATCACAAGGGTTTGGACCACAACGGCAGTGAGGGGAATGTTGGGCCAACTTCAGTCATGGTGTTCAGGGTGACCTCAGGGGTCTCAAGGTCTCAGCTCCATGTGGGACCACAGGAATCCACCTGGACAGGCTTGGAGGAATAAGACAAGGTGAGATGGAGGTGAAGGAGGAGAATTTATCAGAAGGACCTTGCATTCTCCCTGGAGGGTCACTTAATCCCTGGCTGGCCCTGCAGCTGCCAAATGCAGAGTGATTCAGGAGGCTGCCCCTCCCCCACCTGCCTCTACAGGGAAGCTATGCCCACTGCTTGTTCCTCCTGCCCTCCTGTCCATGTTCCTCAGGGTGGGAGCTGCATCCATCCTTCACAGAGGCAGCTTCTGAGGGACTCTGGCTGGAATAATTTACAGGCAGCCAGCTGGTGGGGACAACGGGCTTTTCTTTGTCAGCCTGTCAGGACAAAATTCTTCACAATGAGCCTGAGACCCACCACCTGCCTCAGCATCAGCTGCAGGACCCAAGCTGTACCTCAGGATTATCAGGTATTGAGAGATTAGGCTCTGGCTGCCGGTGGGGCCTGAGTGTGCCTGTGGTCCCTGATGTGGGTCACGGCCAATGACCCTCAGCCCTGAGCCCATATGTGGTGAGGCACAAATCAGGTCACAGAGCCACCTCTTTGGGTTGTGTCATATCTAGTCTGTCCCATGCCTAGACTCTGAGGGCACCTGCACTGTGGATCATAGATGTTGACACTGGGATTTTTCCCTGAGAGCCTCAAACTGCCAGGAAGTTAAAGGGTGATTCGATTCCAGGCACCTGGTCCTTACTACCTTCCTCATAGCACTGATAACATAGGATTATTACTACCTCATTCAGCAGCTGAGGAAACCAGGGCTCAGGGAAGTGAATGGCTTGCCTGAGGTCACTGCATGGGAGGGGCTGAGCAGTTTTCAATCAGCTCTGGCTGCCAGCCATGAATGATGCTGTCTCTGGGCCAAGAGTAAGACTTGGATCCAGCGGGGCGATCACTCTCATTCATCACCACAGTGCTCCCTGGAGTTGGAGCCCTCCTCAGAGTGTTTATAGACAATTAAGTGCTAGTGCAGAAGTGCCAGTGTAGGGAGAGGGGCAGATCACTGACTGCCTCAGGTCTGCAGATCAATGGCCTACCGGCGAAGAGAGCACCCACAGGAAGTCAGATGAGGCAGGTTACTGAGACAAGGAAAGTGGGCTTTCAAATTCTAGCCACAGCCACAGATGGTCCTGGCTAGCATCCTGGCAGCTGCTGACCCTGGATGACATGTCCTCTTAATCCAGAACCAGACTGCAGGGTGCTAAGGACCCCCAGGCTTAGAGCTGTCACTATGGCACCAGGCCCAGCCTGTAGCTTGCCCACTCTGCTTCAGCACATGACGAGAACTTGGGAGGACTGCCAGTGTCCTGGGATAAGAACACCTGGAGCAGCCAGGGGTCAGGATGAGGCAGGAAATGCATCCAGGCCCAGCGTACTCACGACACGATCACTACTGCAGTGGAGCCCATAGTGAGAGTGAGTGCCCTGAGCCTTCCAGGTCCCAACATCTCTGCTCCTGCCCGACAAGACCTGGCCTTGGGTCCCCTCTCTGCACTCCTGCTGCTCACTTTAGGCGCTTGCCATGAGCCCTAACCAAGCAGAGAGACTCAGCCTGTTTAAGCCCGGTCCAGGGGTGGGGTTCAGAGTGGCAGGGAGGCAGATATTCCCTTCCTGCATTTTATTCTTCCCTCCTCCCCTCCGTCCCTTCTTCCCTTTTTCCTTCCTTCTGTTATGCATCCATTCCTCCATCTGCATTCAACACACATGCCCACACACACTAATAGCCCTGCCTGTGTGTGAGGCCCAGAGCCTCCCCCCTGGACTCACATCCCTGTGGGATAGAGGCCTAGTGTAGCGGACACAGCTTTTATATGAATCCCTGTTTATACCAGCAGATGGTTACCATGGAAATGTCCTTGGGACAGGGTGGAGGGTAGAGAGGGCAGAGAGGGGGAGGGAAGTCCCCTCAGAGGCCCGTATCCGCAGAACTCCTGTCCAGTTGGGCAGCAGCATCCTGGAAGAGCAGTTAGCTAGGGTGGGAGGCATGTGCAGGGGCTTGCCCTACCCCCACCCTCAGGGACACAAGACTCTGGCCTCAGGGTCACCCTAACCTTCTGCCCAGAGTGGTCTACAGACTTGTAAACTAGGCTTTTCTTGCCTAGTGCCTGCAGTAAGAGCCTTACTCAGTGCCAGGATTCCCAGGGTCCCAGCAGTGCTTTCTAGTCAGCAGGTGGAGCAGGAGGGGCCCTCCAAATTAATGAGTGAGACTGATTAATCTGCTGCATTAGCAAATCCGCAGGGAAAGTCAACCAGCCAGGCAGATGTGTGTGAGCCAGCACACGTGGTCCACAGGGCTGTGTCGGCAGTGCCCTGAGGGTGGAGCTGACCCCCGCCTGGCCTTTTGCTCTAGGGGACACCCCTGCTGGTGAGAACCACTGTCTCAGACTGCAAACCCTGGAAGGCTGGGCACAAAGCCTGTCTCTAGAAGCTATGAAGAGGAACAGGCAGCAGAGCTGAGCTGCCTCAAGAAGCTCTCAGTTTCCCCTGACTCAGGCATAAGCTCTAACTCAGATATGGTCTGAGGCTCCTACATCTGAGCTGTCTGTAAAGGGCTGGAGAAATCACAGATCAACAGTCTCAGACAGTGGGTGCCAAGGCCTGTACACTAAACAAATCCTCAAGCACAAGTGGACACCACAGCAGCCACACTGCTCCTATGAGTCGTCCTTACGGAGCCTCTGAGGGCTCACCCAACTCACCCTCCCGCCCCCCGACTCCAAAACCACTGTCAATGGAGGCCCAACTCAAGGCAGCCAAAAGATGAAATTGTGGGTTGGACTCAAGATGGGAGAAAGTAAAGCAGCTTTACCCCAAAGGAGGTTCTGATTTGCCATGGCGCAGGGGTCAGGGCCCTCATCACTGAACCTAGGGAGCAGATGTTCAGTGAGAAGCCTTAGTCTGCCTACTTTTCTCCACAGCCATGTCTGAATGACAGCTCCTAATCAAAGTTCCTGGGTAGCTGGAAGAGGCTCCAAGGGACCCAAATTGTGGTTGGCTACTTCTTTGGATTATGAGGATCTCACACTGTAGCCCAAGCTGCCCTTAAACTTACTATGTAGCCTAGCCTTGCTTTGAACTTGTGGCAATCCTCCTGTCTCAGCCTCTGAGTACTGGAATTATAGGCATGTACCACCACTGCATCCACCTTTGGCTATTAATATTAATAAAAGTATTAATATTAGATGGAGTTGGCTCTGTGCACTGTCACGTAAGGTAATCCCTTTGTTCTGTGCTCACATGAAGCTGAGACGTCACATCAAGATGTCTGTAGACCCAGGTCCAGCTGCAGTTTTCCCACTTGGGACCTATTGGCCTTGCTGCTCTCCCCAGTTCCCTCAGGGTCTGCCATGCCAGGCCTCACACAGGCTTGCCTTCTGCCCCACAGTAAGTGCTCAGTCACCAACTGATTTTTAGTCCAAGATACAAGTGTGCTCAAGAATACCCAGCTAGTGGAGGGATGGGGCTAATATATGCCTGAAGTGTGGAGCCAGGGTATGACTCTTTGGGGGACTGGGGTAGATGAGGACAAATTAAGAAGGGCCCCAAAGGGAGGAACACCCCTAGTGGTGAGAGTGCAAAGAGTGGAGTTCTATTGGGAAAGTCAGGCTTCCCTTGGCTCCTGGAAAGACTCCAGGCAGAAAGGGAGTACCCAAAGAACATTCTTCACAGGAGGCCAGGGGCCAGCCTGAAGTTCAATAGCCTACTGAATGTGTGATCTTGAGCAAGTTGATTAAATCTTTTTGCACCCATTTCCTCTTAGGTAAGACATAGGTATGGTAAGAATTGGCCTTGGAGGGTACTGTGGGAGTCTGGCATACCTACACATCCCCATTCTTGGGCCAGCATCTAGGGAGGTACAGTGGGGGACAATAGTCACTACTAAGGTGGTCTGCCTAGGAGGAGAATATTTTGGAAGGCTCTGTTCACAAAGTACAGGCAGATGGCTCCTATGACCTGGAGGAGTCTGAAAGTCCCAGAGTGGGTATGTGACATGTATTCACCAGAGGGCAAGAGAACTGGGTACACTACTGTTGGAGAGGCAGACAGGGGAGGTGGGGCAGGGTGGAGAGATGGGAAAGAGGCCAGGCGTGGGAGCAGGACCTGGGCCATGGAAACTGGCCCTATACTGGTTGTGGGTAGGTGCAGAGGGCCAGTCAACCTCAGAGCCACCATGCCTGGGGACAGAGGGGCATGTGCCACAGGGACAGAGACAGCACCTTCTTCCCTTCAACTTCAGGACTGTCTCCAGTTTGGGGGCTCAGAGCTGGTTTCAGAGTCTCTGGGACAAGGCACGGTTGGGCCACATCTGGTTTCTGGGGTGGGACGGGGCTTCTTTGGGAAACTCGGGCCCACAAACCACAGGCCTTCCTCCCAGCACCTGCTGCTCAGGCGGGCCCTCCTCCCTAGTAACCACAGCAACCGAGCACCTTGTTAGTGGCATTCCTCAGGACCACCCCCAACACCCGTCAGTTTTTCTGCAAGCACCTGTCCTCTCCAATCAGTAGCTCGTTGCCCACAGAGTTGGGGTGGGGAGCTGCTTTCATGCCAGCACAGTCCACCGGGCCGGCGAGGGTGGGGTGAGGGGAGAGAACATGCACGCCAAGAAAGGACAAAGGTGGACCCTGGTACCGGGCTGGTCCTGAGAGACGCAGGGTCCGGGGCACCAGGTTCTTCTCACTAGAAGGGCAGCGCTGGGCCTGGGCGCTGCTGGATGCTTCTTGGGCTTGCAATGCAGGAGGAGGGCGGCAGGCTGATGGAGGGTGGGTTCTTTCCTCAATGCTGGGCTAAGGAAGGAGATGAGAGACTTGCTATTTCCAAACTGCAAACAGTCACGCTAAGGCAAGGTGGAGTGATGGAGTTAGCCAGAGCTAAGCAGGGTGCCCTCCTCTCGCGCACAGTCCCTGAATGCGCGCCCAGCAGTCTTCAGGCAGCCGGCCGAGTTAGGGCTGGAGACCAGGGTTGGGGGCTTGTTTCCTGAAGGCGCTGGGGTTGCTGGGATGACCAGGGGATCCCCAACCCCACGCGGCACGTCGCGAGCCCCAGGAGTACAAGGAAACTTTACCCTCACGCGGGGCCGAGCATGGCCTCCACCTACCCTCGGGGCCCGGTCCGCCCCCTCCTCCCGCCCGCTTCCTTCTCCCTCCCGTCCCTCCCCCTCCTCCCCTCTCTCCGGCGGCTGGAGGCAGCAGGTCCGGGCGGGGCCGCGCCGCGGAGCCCACAACCTCTAGCTCCCGCCCCGCCGCCGCGCCCCGCGGGACGAGCTGCGGAGCCCGGCTTGGGGACCTGCGGCCGCGGCGCGGGGCATGAAGTTGGGCGCGCGCGGGTCTCGGAGCGGAGGCGCGGCACAGCCGGGAGCCGCCCGCATCTAGAGCCCACTCGGTGCGCCATGGAGCTCGGGGCCCCCCGGGCGCCGCCGCTGCCGCTGCTATTACCACTGCTGCTGCTGCTCTTAGGGGTCGGCCTCTTGCCTGGTAAGTTTAGAAACGCAGAATGGGCTTTTTTTCTCCCTGGTCCTGGCACCTGGGACTCCGGGGCCAGGGGAGAGGAGGCCCCGGACTGCGGTGCCAAGCCTCGGGTGCGCGCAACGGGATAGTCAGACTCCTCCACCCACTATAGCTCCGACGTCCTGCGGTGCTAGCTGAGCCAGTAAGGAAGGAATCAGCTGCCAAGTGCCGGGAGAAAGGGTTTGAGGGGAGGTGCGGGGGGGGGGGGGGGGTGGGCGTAGGGGGGGGGTCTGGCTGCATTTCCGAGCTGAAACCAGAACCTCCAACTAAGATAGAGGTGGAGTCCACCTGGGAGGGAGGTTCCATCCTGCCAAATTTCGCAGCAGACCGCCCCCATGTCTGCTCCTGGCTTCAAGGATATGCTTCTGCCCCTGGAGCTCCCACCTTACCTTTCTGCCCCCACCCCACCCCACCCCCGGCTTCCTCCGCCTCTTATTCTCTTAGGGGACACCTTTCACCCTAACTCATTCAGGGGCTTCCGGCAGTTATTTAATCCCTAGCCTCCCTGCTGAGCAGTGGGGCTGGGCCTTACTAGTCCAAGGTATCTGGAAGAATGAGGCTGTGGGGGGTACTCTAGGAGCCCCCTCCTGAGGAGTTCCTGTAGCTCTCAGGTAAGCAGAATCCAGCAGACAGCAGAGGCTCCCCTCCCTCTTCCCAACCCCCTCTTTGATGCAGCAACTCAGCAAATGGAGGCAGGGAGGCCCCCTAGCCACGTGGGGGGCCGATGGAGAGGACACGGATGGGCTGCTGGCTGGTGGAATGAGGGACCACCCTCTTCAGGCAGCAGTGTGGAGCTTCTCCAGGGCATCTTGTATCTGCCCTGAACACCAGGCGCTAGTGGCCCTGAGGGTCTGCATTCATCGTCAGGGTGGACACTAGAAGCCCAGGCAGCAGGGCCACTCCTGTGGGCAGTGGCTCAAGCTCCCTGCATTCACGAGGAGCAGTGCTCAGTCCTCTTTCATTCATCCCCACCACTCTCGCTGCCCACACGCACTTCTGCCCCCTCCCCATGCTGCTGTCACTTCATGTCCTTTGTCTCTGCCGGTCAGTCACTGGAGATAGGGCACTTCCATCCAAAGTGATTGTCTGCAGGGAAGCTGTATGCAGTTCAGTGTTCACTGTCCATTGCCCTGTTTTCCTGGTGAAGTACAGGAGGGCCTGACCCATTCCAGCGGCACTGGAAAGGCTTCCTTGAGGGGAGTCGGGGAAATCAAGGCAGCATGCCCAGGGGCCCTGAGGTGGAAGGTGATGTGTAAGAGGAACCTGAAGGAAAGCAGGACTGTGATGGCATGGGGCTGGAGGGGCAGCCTTTGTGTTTCCTGTCCCTAAGCCTCCTGCCTTCCCCACAGCTAGTGGTCACATAGAGACCCGGGCCCATGCAGAGGAGCGGCTCCTGAAGAGACTCTTCTCTGGTTACAACAAGTGGTCTCGGCCAGTAGCCAACATCTCAGATGTGGTCCTTGTCCGCTTCGGCCTGTCCATTGCTCAGCTCATTGATGTGGTAGGTGTGGGGATGGCCTGGTGGTGTATAGGATGATAGGGTCACCCTGAGACTCCATGTGGCTGGGTCCAACCAAGGTTGACAGGAAAATGTCATCATGAGCTTCAGCAGGTCCTCAGCACTGGGGGAGGGAGGTGGGCTCTGTGGCTCTGGACCTGTTCCATAGGAAAGCTAGTGGCGATGTTTCCTAAAGTAAGCGGGGCACCTTTTAGAGTAAAGAACACAAAAGGCTTCTGTGGGTATAGGAGGGCCAATGCCCTGCTCTTCAGCAGCTAGGCTGTGGGAACTTTGGTTGTGCCACCCTTGTGTGGGCACTGTGGTTCACTGGGGGCACATTGATCTCAGGTGGATCCCAGAGGACACGGAGTACCAACCAGTGTGGAAAATAGGGCTTGGGTGAATCGCAGTCAGAACCTGCTTACCTGGATGTGTTCATTTTCCTAGTAAGAGTCCAGGAAGTCTTCTGGGAGGACATGTGTGAGCTAGGCAGTAGCTACGCCCTGCTGCATGGTCTGGGGCCCAAGCAGTCCTGGAGGAAGCACCAGAGACAAGGTCTTGGCCCTGAGAAGTATACTATAGGAGATTGGCCTTATGTGAAATGCTGTTAGCACCCAACCTTTCTTGGCCAGGCTCAGCTGCTCCTTATGGGGTAGGACCAGGCTTTGGGGAACTCAGCCAGGGGTTGGTGTACACCTGAGTTTCAGTAACACTCAAGGTTCTGCCCTTCATGCTGGGCCTCAGCATGGGTTCTGTCCTGGCTGGAGGAATGATGTTGGGAAGGCGTAACATTACTAGTGGGCAGCCAAAGACCACCTGATTTAGTAAGCTTGGGGTCTCCATACTGGGTTTTGCTGGGTTCAGGGACAGAGCCTGGATCCGAGGAGAGAGAGCTGTCCCTGCAGAGCCTTCTAGGAGGGACAGAAAGGAGGACAGAAAGGAGACTGTGTGCCTTGCTTGAGTTCATACCCCAGCTCCAGTATCCTAAAGACCCACCCCACACTCTGCTACCAGGGGAAGTGTTGGCTCGAGGCTGGAACCAAACATGCTGTGTGATTCCCAGCCTTTCCATGTGCTTGCCTGATGTGAGCTAAAAGCAACTACATCCCAGGGATCTGGCTTGCTGGGATTGGACACTGAGAACCTTGCCAGTTGGCCCTACTCAGAGCTGGCTACTCAGACTTTCATTCTCAGGAGGGCCTAGCGTTTGACCCCCGAATGGTTCCTGCAGTGTCCCTGGGGCTGAGGGACATCAAGGACAGTGCAAGACGTACAGGCCCCTCAACCTTGCTGAGGTTTGCAAACACCATTACAAGGTGGTGGCTGGCAAAGGCAACTGCTGGCGGCAGCTCAAGGCTCTGGGTCTGCTACCACCAGGCCAGCCTAAGCCTGTCGAGCTCAGTCTCAATCTCTCTGCCTCCGGAGACACTGAGGCTCAGAGCACACCCAGCACCAAAATTTCTATAAGGGGCCTGGCCAGGCCTGACCTCTGCCCTAGATCTAGCTAAGGCCACATGTGAACATGTATACACATGCATACAGATAGCTCCTGGGCCTGGTTGGAGTGTGTCCCAAAGGTTCACCCCACACTCTACCAGGCACCTAACTCTTTGCCACACAGGGAAGTGCTGGCTCCAGGCTGGCACTGTACATGTTGGAAGTTCATGGCCACATTGTAGAAAGGTCTGCCTTGTGTCTGGCCTACTCTTCCTTCTTACACTAAGGCCTGGAATCCAGGTGTCCCATCCAAGTGCTTGGCCTGCCTGTGTCCCTTGGTGAGCTACTATATCTACCACAGATGCCCTCTCTGGGGTCTACATCCAGTAAGGGAGACTGCGTGCCTTGCTTGAGTTCATACCCCAGTGCAAGCTGCAGAGAAGACTACTGGATCCCCAGTAATTTCCTAACCCAATGCTGAGTCCTAGTGAAATGTGCTCCAGAGCTCTGTGACATCTATGGGATCCAAGGGCCCCTGGAGGGTGATGGCCACATGGGGCTGGAAGGTGAGAAGACCCAGCCCAGCCACAGCCAAGTTTGTTCTGATGACTCTGGAGGCCCTATGGGATGAAGCAAGCAGTCTTCCACCTCCAGCTTCCTTGGGTATAGGTCCAGGTCATGCAGGGATGAGGTTACTGCAGATTAGCTCATGCAGGCAACATGAGGAAGCAGCAGACTGTGCTCTGCATCCCACCTTCTCTTCAAAGTCCTTCCAGGGAGGGGGCTCACTCAGGCCACCTTCCTAGGTGACTGCACTGGAGAGGACCCAGGCCTGGGGCGTGGCATTCAGGGGGTGCAGTCTTCTCACACTTGATAGTCTATAATGATTTTTGTGGGGTAGGAGTCGTATACACATGCCCTGTTCTGGGCAAGACACTTTCTTGCTGGATGTCCTGGGATCTCCTTGGTTAGGTCCCTGGAGGAACCTGTTTGTCATGCTTAGGCTGATGATGGAAATGTTGGTCCAGATTGGGACACAAACTGCTCAGTATCAGGTGGCCTCTGATAAGGCCATGCTCTTCCACAGACTGTGGGCCTGAGGTCTCAGGCCCCTCCTGAGTGCTGAGTGGCTAGAAAGTATGGCTATGGCTGCCATGCTGTCCCCATAGACCCCTGTGCCTGCACCAGGGCTTGCTTGTTCTCCAGAAGGGTTCTGTCTGTTTTAGGAACTGACTGTTCAGAACATGGGTCTCCAACCTGCTGTTCCTCACCAAGGATGCAACAGACGGGCCCATTCCTATGGCACAGAGGGGAAATAAAGGCATAAGGAGGACAGGTAGATTGGGGCAGTAGCTGTAAGAGACCTCACAGAGTAGTCTATGGCCTAGATCTTCTCAGCCTGACTGTTGTTACATGGTAACCTTGAGGTGAAACCATCAGAATCTCTCCATGACATCCACCTTGGCCCTGGGGGATAATTTTGTCAAGATCTCCCTAACCAGTGGCTTTGATGGCCATAGGAATAGCAGCAGCATATGGATCTCATCTGCAGAAGGAGCAACGTGGGTGGACATGGCTGACAGATTTCTGGGAAGGACACTCAGCCTACAAGGAGCCTGGGGTCCATTT